ACAGAGTGACTTTAATGGCCTTCTGTCTTGGCAGCCTTGGCTTCATGGTTTACTGATCCGGAGGAAAGCCAGGGTGATACAGAGCGTGAGCTGGTTTGCTTAGCCATGCTGTAGTGGCTAATGACAGTATAGAATCTGCCCCGGGAGTTGGAATCCTGTGCTGAGTAATAGGCATCCAGGGAGGCAGGGATGCATCGCTTATGCTGGAGAGAGGGAAGAAAGCAGGACAAGTAAGTACCAGTCACATTACCATACACTCATTTTAAAATCATTTGTTTCTCCTAGATGATTTTTGACCCATCGCATTGATTAGACTATGGGCTGCCACAGGGACAAGGATGCAACTTCCATTAGTCAAATGCATTGGATGAAAGAAACTCCAGGGCACAGTCATCAGACTTGAAAATGGCTGGTGATATTGGTGATCCTCAGTGCAGACTCGTTTCTGGAAAGCACAGAACGGGGGTCTAGCCCAGCTGGCAGGAGCAGTGGGAGAGTACATTTGTTAGCTCCTACAGAGCCCTTAGTTAACAGCCCTGGAGGCTGAAGTTCTTTATTCATTCTCAGAACAGATATGGGACAGGCAGAAGCATTATAAGCTTCTTACATGCTGCCGTGCTACTTTGCCTTATCTCTGTCCTGGAAGAGGAATGGAAGGGCAAAGCAGTCTCCATGGTCCTTTTGGAGCTTTTTGTCTGTGCCGAGACTGCCAACTAGTCTCTTCTCTGTTGAGTGAACACTTGTACAGAAACACCTGCACAGAGAAAACCACTTTGCCTTGCAGAGGTCATAAAAGAGCCCTCATACAGTAACAACATTTGACCTGACCTGGACACATTCACTGGGGAGTCAGACATGCAGGGTCCCATATACCAAGACCCTAAGCCATCCATTTCCCTCAGTCTAGTGCTATTAATGGAACCCCCAGATCCAAACTTGTTGAGCTTCTGCAGCACTCAGATTCAGATATGATTCTGGATCCAAAAGACATCACTCGGTCTGAGCTCTGATCTTCTGTGCAGTAGGGGAGTAATTCACAATAACAAGTATATCTACTCCTTAGCTGCTTTTCCACTGCTTTTTGCAGCAGTGAAAACTTCCAGCACTGTATTCATTGCAAATGCTTAAGCCATGAATTGTTTTGCAACCTGCTAAACTCTGGGGAGGGAGTGAACAGCCTTCTGTGACTATCTGAGATTCACACAGTTGGCTTGCAACATTTGGTCAAAGGAGTCATGTGGTTTCTCACAGTTCCTAAATCAGATGAGAGCAGAAGCATGCTTCATACCAATACTTGCACATGCACATTTTTAAGTCAATGACCTGGGACTTGTGTATGCCCCGCTGGAATTTGCTGGGCAGGGACCTTTATGCCTGTGTAACTCAACTGTATGGCTGTTTGTGGGCAGCAAGCTATGTGTGAGTTGCAATGGGCTCATTCAAACTTATTAAAGTTATTCATGGACATTTGTCTGTAGTGTTCACAGAGGTCTAATCCCAGTGATTACAATGCTATGGTAGCTGCTGGAGGAAGATGCAAGTCCACATTTCTCAAGCCCTTTTCCCCTGTCAACACATTCTTGCCAAATGCTCTGTTTGACCCTGATGAAAAATTTAGACTAGACTGGAACCACATTTTCAATTAGATTCTATGCCTATCCCGAGCATTTCATCTGACTGAAATCTCTTACCTTATAAACAAATCCATCTGGGCAACTGTGGTCGTAAGTAAAGGCTTTGTACACCACAAGAAAGACTATGCAGGCAAGGAATGCAAGAGCCAGACTTATGAGAATAGTGACCTACAAAAGAGGGATAATATTACTCCACAGATGTTAAAATGGCATTTGAGCAACCCCGCAATTAAATGACTTATATTAACATCCATCCTAACAGATTGTGCTCTTCGCTGTGTGGTACTTAACTAAGCATGGTAATTGAATGACTTGCTAGATCCAATATCGCTGATTTTTGACATCCCTTTTTACCTAAGACCTTTGATGAGGCATTTTCTATGTTTAATCCCTTACAAATTTCTAGGTTTTCACTAGGAGATTTACTGTTCTGAAGGGCTTTGTGTTCCCACACTCTCATCTCCCAGTTCAATAGAAAGCAGCTCCATTTTACCCTGCTGCTGTCAACCAGAGGTTACTTGTACAGGGCATATTCATTGTCTGAGCAGCAGTAGCCAGGCTGCCACAAAGCCAAAGTAAGATCCTTTTTTTCCTACCTTCACCAGGGGGAGGTAAAAATAAGTCTCTATAACAGTCTTCATCTGTAGGCATTTTAAGTGCTGTTACACAGCGGCGAAACAAGGAGTGAGCAACTGGGGGCACAAGACCAACCCCAGGTGCACACTTGGGGCACAAGAACAGCAGCTACTGACACTGCCACAGCCAATCCAACACCTACTGCCACCCCTGTTGCCACAGGCACCCAGGCACTGGTCATTACTCATCTAATGTTACATGGTTAAATTCTACCTACTATAGAGTGAAGAGGTGCAGAATAGGGACCTGGACTCCTTATGAGTGCCAGGCAAGGTGTAATGAAGACATCTTTCAGTGTGTCTGATAACAGGAGGTGGCAGACATGGTAATGGTCAGGGACGTTGCCTTCATGTGTCTGCCAGCCCCTGGCTCTGTCACTGAAAACAGCAAACATAATACTCCTTTAAGGAACCTACCAAATGGGCTGCTCCCTGTTGTCTACATGGCACAACGCAGAGCCAGGCAGAGACATTCAAGTGAGTATTAAATAAGCAACTTCCAGTAACAGATTTAGTCAAGTGCATCCAGCTGAGGTGTCTACAGCAGGAGTGGGCAAAATACGGCCCGTGGGCCAGATCTAGCCTGCCAAGCACTTTCATCCGGCCTGCGGCATCGCCAACAAATTGCAACCCCACCCAGCCCTTCCACCCACAAGGGTGAGAGCAAGGTGCCCACGTGTACGCAGACCCCCAAACATACCCTATTGTGCCATGCTCCCACTATTGTGGGCAGAAGGGCCTGGCCCAGCCAGCAGCAGCTTCGAGGCAGGGCTGCTGCTGCTGCTGCTGCAGCCCCCAGGGACCTGCTCTGCTTGCCCAGTCTCCTGCTGGCTCCAGGCAGCAGGTAGGGAAGCAGGAGGAGTGGGAGGAAACGCAGAGCATGGGGCTTGGGCTGGGACAGTGGAGCCCATGGTGGCAATGCGGAGCTCAGGTGGGCAGCGTGTGGGTGTGAGGGAGAGACCCCCCACACTTCCCCTATGGTGCACAGCCCCAGCAGGCAGCAGCAGCAGCAGCAGCAGACGGGGCACTCAGGGCACAGGTGCCTGGCAGGGCACGGCTTCAGCCAGTGGGGCACATTGCAGTGAGGAGCGCAGCCTCCCCCGGTCTGTCTGTATCACCAGAGCTCCCTGCCATTCACGCAGCCTCCGCACCTGCCAGGCACAGACAGGCAGTCCCAGGCACTGGACCCACCTGGGCTGCACTGCATGGGAGGGAAGCCCCAGGCACCTTCCCTTGGGGGGCAGGGAAGGCAGCCAGATCCAGCACCTGCGGCTTCCCCCCCACGCCTGCTGAGTGCAGGGAATGTCAGCAATACAGATGGCCCAGTGGGGGACTGCGCTCTTCGCTGCAATGTGCAGCGCTGGCCAGAGTCGCACCCCACCAGGCACCTGTGTGCTGAGCACCCTGCCTGCCGCTGTGCTATTAAGGAAGTGGGGGGGTCCCCACACCCCTGCACCCTCCCTCACACCCCACAGATGCCACACACCCACATCCTTACCCCCACACTCCCCACATATACACAACCCTCCAACATACCGTATGCCCCCTCACACACAGCCACAGCTCCTCACTACCCCCCAAGCAGCCCCCCACAACCTACCATATACACACACCCCCACGTCTCACCATACACATGCACACACACTCATGCACACACATCCATACCCCACCACAGCCACACCTACACACCCACACCCCCCACACACCACACACACACCCACACCCACTCCCCACCATACATATATACGCACACGCACACACACACTCCACCATACACACGTGCACATGCACACACCCACACCCCACCATGCACATGCACATACCCATACCCCACCATATACACACACATGCACACACCCACAATATACAAGACTAAGAATTTATTTTTGAGTTATTATGCAATTACCTCTATATACAGTGTGTGGACACAAATCATGCCAAAAATATTTTTCATAATAAAATTAATATATCTTGCTGAGGTCATCTGATCCCAGCACTCTTTCCTGCCAAGTGCAGAGGGCTGGACCCGAATATCTGTAAGGTCCCTTCCAGCCCCAAACAACTATGAAACAATGTTGTAGTAGGTGCCTGACTTTTAGTGTGATTTGGTTTTAGTCTGGTTCTGAAATGGCAACCCCTGCCCCAAGGAGTATTTCTGCGGGGCAAAGGGAAGAACATCCAGTGGCAAAGGTCAGGGGTTAGGGGTAGGATTTCCAGTCCCAAGATAGCAACAAGGTGCAGGGCAGCTGTCAAGGGGCAGGACCACCCATGCGGCCTTCGATAGCTCACCAAAACTCGTTAAGTGGCCCCCCACCAGAAATAATTGCCCGCCCCTGACCTACAGTGTGCTGACTGCAGACATATCCTAGGTGTGCTGCCCCTCTGAGGCAGCTTCCTCCTCTCCAAACCATCCTGGTCTTCTTCAAACAGAGTTACCAACTCTATTCTAAAGTTCACTCAGAGGAACGGCTCCTGCTGCTCTCACGCAGGCACTGCTCTTGTTGAAAGATAGAACATTGTCCTGAAATGCTCCTAGAGATTCTGCTGAAGCTGGTCTGAGGTGCAAGTCTTTTAATGAAACTCCAAATCAGGTGAATTTTGCTTCGTATCCTGTTTCACTGTGAACATCTGCCTCTGCTCTAGCATGAATCCTTCTACAGCCTGGCAGGTTCCAGCAAGTGATTGGGGGTTGCAGAGTAGAAAGGCTTCAGCACTTCAGTGTGCACCAGTGCTGCCAATACCATAACCACTCAATTCTGTCAAGGCTGCTGCTTCCTGCTGAATTGGATTCACATTAATCTTCCCTGGGGCTCAGATACAACCCACTGCATTACCATGCAAAGCAGAGACCATAATCAAATGAACTCAAGTCCTGGGATGACAGGAATAAGGGCTGCGATGGAGGGCAAACTGAAAACTCCTGGAAGAGAGAGTTTGTGCTATGGATATCTCACCCACTTGCTTGGGTGGCTGGACAGAACAGGGGCAGCATCTCAAAAGGGACCCAATGCTTGTCCCATGCTGCACAGTACCTGCCTGCATTGGTGAGGGACTGTAATGCTAGAGGTTTTAATGGTGTGTCCCCTTAAAAAGGTGTAGGTGCCTACATTAAAGAGTTAAAACAAAGAGTTCTGTCCTGCCACTTGCTACTACAAAACAGAGAGATGCAGGGGGAATCTAATCAGCATTGCACCACTGTAAAAATAGAAAACAGAGGACACAATCTGTTAAAAGGTTTGCCCAGTCCAGCCGAGCCCAGTGGAGAACTGGCCCTGTAAGTTTCACTGGTTTCCGTTTTGGCTGTCTGCTTCCTTCCCAGTGCATCTGTCTGCCAAGTGAAAACAAGCTATTACCTGCTCCCTTCCCACCTAGTGGTAAGGTGCTGTAACAGTGCCTGTGACCTCCGAACTGTTGCATTCCTGTCCGTTCCTGACCCCAGAGTAATTTGAATTGGTAAACCCATGGTAAACTATAGCAGGGTATGTAAACATTTGTCCACACCCCGTACTCTATCAGTTTTTTGTTATTTAATACTATTGTATCACTATATTATATATACAACATATGCGTAATGGTATGCATTATCTACATGTTATTGTATAATAAATATCATTACTTATACAACAGGGCCCACAATACCATAATGATGCATACCAGTACTGCAGACCTAGGAGCTGCTCCCAAACCTATACTCAGCAGCCTTAATGATATTAAGAAAAAGCAAAATGCAGAAATATTTCTTATGACAAAGTGAACAAGTTAGTCTGGAACAGTAGATGGACTTTGCAGGAGAGCAAAGATGGGTACATTTCAGAACCTGTGGGTAATACCAATGAACCGATTAAAAACAGCTGAATACTGGATCATCGTGAAATTCTGCTTTCATTCTTTGCTCAGCAGAGAAGTTGGAGAGCCAATTCTGAGAGCAGCTGGAAATCTGAGAGCCAATATGATATGCAATCCCTACATGGGCTCAGAGAAGCTGTTGGAACTGCTTGCAAAGCAAGAACAGACCTTTTGGCCTAGCAAATACTGCAGAAAGATGTACCACCTGGTATGATGTATTCCCAAGCACGCTGCACTTTAGGTCTATTACTGAGTGCAGCTACAGCAAACCTGGCAACGCTGGCAATGCTTACCCTATGATGGGTAGTGCAGACGAAGCAGAGTTCCTAGGGGATCTTGTGAGGATGCTGAATGGAAACACTGCCACTACATCTGTGAGGCCACTGCTGAGTTTAACTCAGGAGGAGTCCACATCATGGGAAAGTAGAAGGAAAAGGAATGTCTTCTGTCTGAAATGATTAATTAGCCCCTCCTTGAGATAGAAAGTTTCAGAATGAAATGTAAATAGGTGAGGAATCTGCATGAGCTAGAAGCTGATGTTACTGCTCAGTGACTGAAAGTCAAGGACTTCACTGAATTCTGCAACCTTCTCTGGCATCATAATCCTTTCATAGATGAACTGTAGCAATTGAAGCCATGGCTCCCCTGGGAGCGAATGTTCAAACTAACCTTCTCCTTGGGGCCTGA